CAAGCACAAAGGAGAAACTACAGTGCCTGTGAAACTTGCAAAAAAGGCGAACACCCCTTTCTAAAGCCACTGTTTGGTTTTTGGGCTACTGTAGAAACATGGCGGTTCAACATGGCGGACTCCATGTAAGGCGATCCGCAATGCCTGTAGATATAAAGGGCTCATTCTAAGGTAACATAAACACAACACTACTTTTTTCAGGTGATTATACACTAATGAAAGTATACCTATGAATATTATATTTCATATTTACCAATCGAGCCTCCCAAATGTTTCACACTGGACCTTTAAGAAAGAAGCAAAAAATTCATAAAAAAGTAATCATCATCGAAAATCAAATTTCAGTAGTTGCCAATTTTTGTTCTTTTATCCTGTCTTTTCATCTTACGAACATACACAGCTTTAAAGACAGCTTTTCAGTCCACATGGCACAAAAACCTCAAGGACACTGAGATCTAAACATCCTTATCCAGAGCCACTGCAGAGGACATCCTCCGTCACTGCTACATAGGCACATCTCCCTCTTTATCAAAGGAGAGTATCGAACAGCGTTGAAAGTGCGCTCATGTTTTGGCTTTGGCCCCTTTTGTACTTCCGAACTGAGCATTCATTATGCATAAGCAACAAGAAGGCTGCTAATGAAGATTTCATAATTAATAAAAACTGCGACATCAGCATGTGCATAAAATTACCACGAGGCCACCGTTAGAAGGGGAACCACTAAACTGCACATACTGTTCAGCAAGTACACAAAAACAAATATGGCCTTTATCCGAATAAAATAAACTAATAGACCTTCTAAATATGTAGCAAATGGATGAGGCAAGAAAGAGCTGGGTTAACTGTAAAGCCAGTGTTGGCTGCCTCAGCTACATGTATTGAGGTCAATTTAGTTTGTGCTTTCAAACCAAACTTGAATTTCTAACAACACACAATGGCAAGATGTGTCTTTGAATAGAGCTCAAGGCACAGGAACAAAGATGATTTCCTTGTTTGCAATTACAAACTAGAAAACTAGACACAGATGCACTCTTGCCCGTGCATGTTACCAGAGTTTTTACCAAATAGCCTTTGATTGTTTGAGCTTTGTGATTAACCATGTTTTTCCCTTACTTATTATGTGTATTTGTTGACCCGGGTGCTGCATACAATTGCACTTTCAGGGATAAATAAAGTTGTATTGGATTGAACGGAAAGGATTTAAGGAATCCAGGAACCAAAAAATACTTTTGGTTCTATGCCTAACAGTTAGGTTGGCCCCATCCACATTAAAAAAATATTTTCCTTGGCCCATGACTGAACTTTTCACCCAGTTTCACTGAAATCTGTTTTGCAGTTTTTGAGATATTTCAGGATTTACACACATGCAGGCAAACAGAGCTAAACACATAACCTCTGTGGCAGAAGTAATAAGACTTTTAAAAAAATAAAAATAAAATTGAATTTCTGTAACGAATACAGATTCCTAAGTAATGGCACGGCTCTGGACTGTACTTGAACTCTAAAAAATATGCATAATAGATGTTCCACCAAAGTGATACATTACTACATTTCAAGAAATCTGTGAAAGGACATAGCGGCACAGTTCAACACAAATTCAAAGGCTGACCATTAAACGTCACCACATGTAGAAATGTCTAAACAAACTCTTAATTCAGCTGACAAATCTTGTCTAGCCTCTATACACAGATACTGTGAGAGATGCTGACATTATGCAAGAAAAAATTCCAACCCTGTTTAATTCTATTCATTTGTATATCAGCAAAAATCCAGTTCCCACCTCAGCGTCTCGATGAATGTCAACGACCAGTGAAAGGAAGGCTTTGATTTGCTATTTTAGCACATTTTCATGGGAGCCGTGAGTAATTATTGCACTAAACAAGAATGTGAAATAAATGAAGAGCTCAGGTAGAATCAGCGGTTACTTGTTTGTCTTCGTTTGTCTCCCTCCTGATTTGAACCTAAAAACACAAAGAGTTCACACTCTGGTCATTAAGAGGATGCTGTGTAAAAGTCTGTCACCTCAACTTAAGAGACAGGCTCTCTTTCTGTTGTATGAATGGTAGTGTGCATGCATGAAAGTTTTTGTGTTCTGGTTGAGTGATCTCATGCTTACACAGAAGAAGCTTCTTCTCAGTTTCCCTGATGTGTGACAAAGGCTTTGTGTGGCTCTTCCCCAGAATATCTTAAAGGGTTGTTGTCACAGTTATTAGATGTGACTTGATTCAAATTGTTTTATATTCTTCCTACAAACTGTTACCAATATTTTATCATCTGCAGGGGATTTAAACTGGTATTTACTTAAATTCAAATGGAACTAAAATGATCACGCAGTTTATTTATACATGGACAGCCATATGTCTGGGTTGCCTTTATTCAAGGCATATAATGTATGCTTCACTGTAGGGACTTCGAGCTGTATGTTTGATAATCAAATTTCCTCACCTCAGACCTGTAGCCATAACAATAAATCTGTGTTGTTTTTTTAATCTCAGTGACAGATGTTCTGACTGCACCAGGATGAAAACTGATGGTAAGATATTGCAGTGAGAAACTGAAAAAGCTCATTCTCATTTTAATGGAAAGCACACATCAAATATTTCTCTGATACTGACCTGCAACATTTCACTACACATGCAAAACACTGCTGTAGATATGATTTATGCTCAGCTCATCCTTTATGCAAGTATAATGCAAATATCAGCTCCTTCTTTGTGACCCATGTGTCACATTGAATATATCTACACGCTTTACTCCGGACTAAGTAGTTAATGAACATGTAAAAATCTGAAATAACTTGAGCAGCTCTCCTCAGTGCGTGGCTCTGAATTCGCCTGAGAGGGAAACAACCTGCTCAACAAGCCATATTCATTCAGCATACATGACGCTCTCCACAAAGCAACTTAAGAGGACTGCACTTAGAGGTATGTTTCTCCAAAAAGCCTCTGAAGAGAGCGGGGCCTGCCTGCTCCACTTCTCCCCTGACTGACAGCGCACTCCAGGGGAGCCACGCCGCAGGACACGCACACTGATCCAGTCTGACACGCCTGACCTTTCCTGGGCCGCACGGCTGGCTCACCGCACACCGCGCCCCGCCCAGCTGAAAAGGCCACACACTGCCATGCAGTCAGTGCCATCGCTGCCCACCTCAGCCCCCACCCCCCCCTCACTGCCATATCGAGAGCCGGCAAGGTGAATGCCCGGGACTGCGCAAAGACAGCCACTCAATCTGAGAGGCTTTCAACCGCAAAACAAGGGTATGCCATCTGAATTTGGCTGTGATGTATGATTGGTATTCCCCATTGCACCCTTAAGTGGAGTAAAGATTTTTTTAACAAATAGATTATTGGGTCTTTATTACAAATTATGTATTTTACTGTGCAAGGGTGTTTTTTCCCTTTGACTTTATACCATTTAAGATATTTTAATTAAGGCATTGCTCACACACAATATGATTATGAAGATGAAATTAGCATAATACTATTAGTCATTTCACTTAGTAAATGGGGCGGGTGCGGTGGCTGGTTAGTGAGGGGGTCGAACATAATGTGTCTGCCAACAGTCCTGGTTGAGGCAGAATTATCTCAGAATAGATGTTGCGGGAGCCCACTGAAGAACAAGGGATGAGAGGACTGTAAGTGCAGAATAGATGCTGCAGCTGTGAAATGAAGAGCTGTCGCATCCAGTGAGCACTTTCCTGAGTAAAGGAAACACTTGGCAAAGCAGAAATAAATCATGTGCTCATGTATTCCAGTGTAAGATTGTATTTTCCAAAAAACAGAGAAGGAAAATCTCACAGTTTAAAAAATTCAGCTTGTGTGACAAGGCATTCAGTGCTTTTTCTATCTGAAGTGTACATGTGGAAGTATCTTTGATGATATATACAGACTGTTAAGGTGCTATTTTAATAAATAACCTAAATTGTAATGCAAATTATTATATAATTAAATGATCAGTGTCTCCAGAAGCACTAACTGCACTGACATCCACACACATATATTGCTCAGGCAGTGACTACTTCATTACAATGCACCACCTTAAGTAATTATACTGCATCTCTATTAGTGCAAGCAATTGCAAATGGCTTTTCTACTGCAATTACAACAGTAAAATATGGGCGAGATGATGTATTTCCACAGGTTCTACTTTGCTTTTCCTCACAGATAATTCTGTGGATCTACCAAACCAAACATCTTGGGATCTTCTGAATTCAGTCCTGAGATGAGATTACATCAGACCTTATGTGGTACACCAGTAGTGCACTAGTTCTGTAAGCCTACGAGCCTCAAAGGGGCCAAAGATGCAGGGAGAGTTGCGTGCACTGGTGTGTGGGTCAGGTTTGAATAAGTAGTACCCCAACTTTGGACAGCTAAATCGACAGAGATGGATTCACAAGGAAGGGGGGGGGTTATTGAGAGAATAACAGCACTGACAAAACTGGGCAGGAACACAAAGGACAAACACAGATGATTTATGTATGAGGGTCAAGCAAAGCAAGAGACTATCTTTAATGTTAATAACTGTGACATTATCCTCAGCCATCTCAAACACTATGTGGATACACCCACCTTCCTCAAATGTGACCTAACTGACTGCTGGGTGACTGGCTTGCAATTAGCCTATTTGCCTTTTTTTTTTTTAAATCAGTTTCTTTGTGGGAGCTTGCAGTAAATGTCTAGCCTGTGACTACACACTAATGACAGAAAATAGCTCTATCGGTCCTGACTAAACTACAGTATCTCACTCCAGTGGGAACACTGTGAATACCCATCCCATCCATCACTGCTCGGGACTGAATTAAACATTTAAATTGATCATGGAGCTCCAGTGGTTTTGGGGCCACAAAGTGTCTGTCTTGCATGCCTGCTCCTACACACTTAATCTGTGGCCCATGGTGCTTTGGGGACCTCAGAACTTGTCCCTATACCTACTGCTCATTCACACAAGAAACACACACACGCACATTCAGGCATCAACATGAGGGAATCAGCCATGTGTACCTTTTATTCCTCTGGGCCTCCTTCTTATCCATTATGACAGGCACACAATTCGTGAGCTCGGTCCAGTCTGCATGCAGTCCGCAGCTCCAGCCGGTGGAGAACCGGGAGAAGAGCCAGGACTCCTCTTTCCCTGGCCGGTGACATGTGCATTTCTTCTGCCCTGGCTTGCAGTCGCACGGCTGCTCCAAGCGAATATTCCTCACCAAGTGTCTCCCGAAAGTGGTTCCTCCGGTCTTCTGGATGTGCAAAAACACTATCACGTCGTCCCCTTTGATGTTGAACTCCACGTGTCTGTCAAGGTCTCTCTCAGTGAAGTTGAATTTTGACGGCACTTTAGGAGGGCTGTCATCCTCCAGGTCTTGGTCTCTGTAGAAATCGTCGCTGTCCTGGTACGGGGTGGAAAGTAGGCTCACCCCCCTTAATTTCTCCCCAGCCTTAAAGTGGCACGAATTGCTTCCAGCGGGACATATGTACTGGTAACCTATCATAACAAAAAGGACAGCTAAAATAGGAACCAAGATGAGCTTACTGGATCTTTCATCCATCATATCGAGAGAGTGTCTTCATTCCATTACTGTGAATAATAAGTTGCACCCATGGGTTTCTTCTTCGGGGGATCAATAGCTTATTCCTCCATGCCTCAGGTAGACTAAAGGTGCCTGTTATTTAAGTGCCACATGTTGATCAGATAGCACCCTCCGAGACACGCGATCTGGACAAAAAGGACAAGTCCACCTTTTTGGTTTGTGAAACACTGCACGGCGTCTGCACTGCGCTGGGAATTCTGTCCGAAGTCAAGAGTCATGGCATTCCCATTCCCGGCTGTCCAACTTCTAAAGCCAGTGTAGGGATGCATCCGCGCCGACGACTCCCTCCGTGCTCCGGTATCAAGTTGAAAATGAGGCAGCTGATGAGAGTTTGTAGTTTTACAGCTTCTTTGTTTTTTTGTTGTTGTTTTTTCACCCCCCTCCTCTCCGGTGCTGATCCCGGTCTAAATCGCAGCGCGGTTCATTTCGATGATGGACTTATTTCAGCAGAAATGAGTACACGGCTCGGACTGTCGGGTTGGATCCTCCGGCAGCATCCTCGGCGGTCTGACTGACTGTGCTGAAGCAGTGCTTTAGAGAGGATGACAGGATGAGAGGATGCTGCTGCTGCTGCTGCTGCTGTATCCGAGCCGACAAATGTGCGATATGCTCTCGTCGTGGTTGGGCTGGGAGAGCTCTACATCCCATCCCGTCCATCCCATAATCTTGTTTAACACAGTGCAAAGCCAGAAGCCCGGGCACTGAGCTGAGACAACATGGAGATTTAGCCACATATAAATACCAAATCCGCTGTAACTTTTTTTTTGAAGCCCATTCATTCGAGTGTGACCTTTGGTGATTAAAGAGATAGCACTGTCCCTCTGCTTACAGCATATACTTGTCTGTGCAAGGGTAGGCCTATAGCCTTATTAACCTATAAAACTTAATGTCTCTGCTTAAAAGGCAGTACTGTAACCAATTAAAAGAAAAGTGAAACAGCTGCTTTGTCTGCAGCAGTGGATATTGTGACACATCTACTGAAGCATGTAAAATATTGGTGCTTTGTCATGCGAGGAATTTACATAAAAAAGTTTAATTGTGTGTGATTAAAATATTTAAATGTTGTAAATAAGTGTAAAATAATGTAGACTATCTATCTATCTATCTATCTATCTATCTATCTATCTATCTATCTATCTATCTGCCTCTGATCAGTCATTTAATGTCACTAGTGGTCAACTAAAAGTTTCAATTTATGTGAAATGGAGAAAGCTTTCAATGAACCTGTAAAGTGAAACAAAAAAATAATAAAATTGGGATTAAAGGAGCATCAGTTTACTGGTTATGAGAAGCACCACTCCGCCTGTGAAAACTGTAGGCTAGTATAATATCTTCTGTGGCTCTGGGGGGAGCTTTCAGAAGTGTGCAGAAATTACCCTGTTATCTTGGCTTGGATACTTGGTTTTGTAATGGCTGCTTAACAAGCTGGGGGCATGGAGTTTTTAAAAAAAAACAAACCTGAAAGCTTGTACCAGGCAACCAGGGGCTAATGAAAAGATGTTATGGAGTTGCTTGATTTGGGATATCTAGGAATATCTCTTCTGCATTGATTCAGATTATATTCTTTTATCATCTAGGCTATTTATGAAAGTTTGACTAAATTGATGGACAACCCCTTAAATATTCTGATTACTGACAGTTCTGATACAGAAATAGTTCAATCTACAATATATTATTATATTATAACAGATTGTTTTAGGGAAGTTACATAGGCTATATCCTAACATTAGCTCATTATTAACACAATGTCACATTTGTCTTGTATTTTGTCTTTAATTGCTCTCGCATAGCTTGTATTGCTGCTATTATTTAACTTACTAATTACTTATTTTAGTGTTCTATAGCTCTTATCTATTGTTTACTCTATTTATCTGCTACTTAAGTCTGCAACAACTGAATATTCCCTCTGAGGATCAATAAAGGCTTATCTTATCTTATTAAATATTTTATTGAGACTCCGGCAGCCTCCCATGTAGAGACACTTATCTGGCTACACATCTGCACACTCTCAGATATTCAGCGACCACACAGTGAGGCAACAACACGCTCCGGTGTGACGGGGGAAAGCGTTTTGAGCTCCAGCTGCTGTCCTTTTTTAGCTGCCCGCCGCTGTGCCTGAATAAATTACAACTTTGCCAATAGAATTTTTTTAAACTTTACACTCACTGTGAGCAGTTGTGTCCATTTACACAACATGAGAAACTGTAATTTAAAGTAATCACACGCCAGATTTTATTTTTAATTTTACGGTTGTTTCAGACAGGAATAACGGCCAGCGCTAGCCACCACAATATGCGGCAACCCCGGCAACTAGCTAGCTGAGCTGTACGGGTCGTTAGCTGCCCAAATTACCTAACCTGGAGCTCTTTCGCTTTGTATGGAAGCGGTCAGCATCACTAACGGGGTGAGGGGTATATTATCGGCAACACAGTGACCACTGGTTGTGTATTTATAAATGTTACACTGCTAACATGTTTGTAGTGAGCCACATTTGTAGACTTTGTTCGTTAAATCACGCCAGTGTTCCGCTTTCATTCACAATAATGCAGTTTACTTTTGTGCTAGAGCTAAGTTAACTTCTGCCTGACCCTTCTGAACCTGCGTTATTTTCAGAGGTATGTCGGTCGAAGCTCTTGAATGAGTCCCCTTGAGTTTCTTTTAGGCGTGTGTGTGCACCGGTGTTGTGGTTTAGATAATAACTTACTCGTAACTACGTGGCACTGTCTGGTACTTGTCTTAAGGCGAAGAAGAAGGGACTCACGTTAACTTACTGGTGGCGTTGGTGGGTTTTTTTTTTTTTTTTTTTTGCTTTCTGCCTCTGTAGGTTCATGTTACGTCGCGCCGGAGATAATGAGGAAGATTATTGTGCTGTCACTGCTGCTGCTCAACATACATCATGTCAAATCAACACCCAAAGGCGTCACTGCCAGTCTCAAAGCAAAGTGGAGCATGACCCCTTTCCTCCTGGAGACAAGGTACTCGTCCCTGGACATGCGTATCTGGCACTCAGATCTCCAGTAAACAAGAGTCCATAGCCAGGAGGACACAGGAGGGAATAGATCCTATACCCCCTCAAACAGAATGTGTTTGTTTATGTTTTCATATTTTGTTTATTTAGTTGATTGTTATATTTTGTTTTTGTAAATTAAAATTCCCAGCATGTAGGTCTAAATGCTTTTTCAATGCCCTCTGCACACTGCCAGGAGTATTAAAGAAAACGTGGATCTGGCTTCACACTAAAATACAGAGAACATGACATTGTCATTGTCCTCGAGGGTAGCTATGGCCTGGCAAACATAGACAGAAATTGTTTAAACATAATAATGTTTTCTTGTTAGTTGCCTCATATTGTAGAGGCTGGGAACAAGTGATTATTGTTACTCCCCCAAATTGTCTATCCATTGGCATATTGGAAAATAATTGATGTTCATCAGTCAGAATGACAGATTCCATCCCAAAAGACATTCAGTTCAGTAAATAGGTGCCCGTTAATTGATCATAACAATGGTATTTATACATAATGGACTTCAAAAAGCAACCAAAAGTTATTTTATTGTTGTCACTGTTGACACTGTTGTTTCCGTCGTCAACGTGTGATTTTTTTTCTTATGTGCGTGAAAATATTCTGATTGTAATTGAAATCTACTGCATGCCTGTAAGGTCTGTGTAATGCTGTGTGATGATTTAAAGCGGACATTAAGAAACCAAGACTGGAGAGCACAATTATTACCAGCAAATATAAAATGATTATGTGGTCTGTAGCTCTAACTGTTGGGGAGTCAGAAAATGGTTACTTAGGTACAGTACACACTGTGGTTTGGACTAATGCTTTCTTTTTCTCTTTAGCGAGTTTATTGGAGAAGATGGGAATGAGAAATTCTGGCAGTTTGTTGACACTGTGAAAGAGCTCACTGTGTACAAGCATGGAGGTATGTTGTTTGAAACCAAGTCATTACTTTGATTGTACAGGTGTAATTGCTGTATCAGAATAGATTTTAAATACATTTTAAAGAACAACAGGTGTGTGTCTCTTCTCAAAAAAGCCTCATTATCACTAAATAATGTTGATTTGTCTCACAGAGTCTGTGCGCTCGTACTATAACTTGATCCTTAAGAAGGCTGGCCAGTTCCTCACAGATCTTCAAGTTAGTCTCCTGAAATTTGCTCTGGCTCTACGATCATACTCACCAGCTGTCCATGCATCCCAGCAGGTAAGTGTGATCAAAATGGTATATACCATAAAAACCTGTCCAAAAGCAGCCTGGGGATATTGCATGAGAGCCAGGTTCATTTTTTGTTAGAGGCAGTTACATTGTCTGTATAGCCTAATCTTGACCCATAGTGCTCTGCAGGACTTACTAACAGTTCTCCGTTGCGTTGGCACAATCTTTAAATTACAGCCATTATACTCAAACTACTGTGTGAAATACTCCACATCCACTTGTATATTTATGTGATTTCTCATATAATTCGGATGAGTAGGTTAATTAGTAAGGTTAATTATCTGAAATTTATCGAGTGGCAAACAGTAATTGCGTTAGTGATCAAAATCAATTAGGCCATTTCTTGTATTACTCTCAGATACATTACCATCATGTGCGTTGTGCATATCCTTATGTGCAAAATACTCCATATTCTGTCTAAACTCCAATGAGTTCATTTGATATTTTATTTAAATCTGTCACGTGTTGGCAAATGTAGCTTCACTGCAAAAATGCCCTACCAAACTGAAGTGAGAACGTTTTTGGAGGCATGTGTGCTACCCACTGAGTCACCATGCTAACTGACATCTGGCCAGGTGGCTTTGGCCATGGCAGTGTTGATGGGTGGGCCCACCGGCAGGTCAGGTTTTAATTATCCAGTGAAATATCTTAGCATCTGCTAGAATGAATTGAGACCGAATTTGGTCCACATATTGATGGTACCCAGATAACGAATATCAATAACTTTGATTTAAGTTTGATTTGGGGAGCCCTGGTAGTTTACCTAGTTGAACGTGCACCCCGTGCATTAACGCAGTCCTTAACTCAGCAGCCAAGGTTCGATTCCTGTCACCCTTCAGCTGCTCAGGCAAAATACAGGCGATAAATAACCCCTCAGAAATAATCTTAAAAAAGTACAAATAAAATAGTTCCCTGTACTTTTTCTCTAGCTATTATCAGGTAAAAATGTCAATTTGTCCAATACTTTGGTTTATGACTAAAATACCAACACAAATGATGAAAGCATTTATTGTACTTTGAGCATATGTACTAATTTGCAAATGAGCATGCAAACACTCTAAACTAAGATGATGAACATGGTACTGGAAACATTACCTGCTAAATATCAGCATTTTCACTGTGAGCATGTTAGCATGCTTAGATTTAATTTAATTCAATTTAATTTAATTTAGATTCTGATTTGTCTAAGCATTTACCTCAAAGCAGTGCTGTGCCAATGTCCGCTAGCATGGCTTTAGAATCTTGGTCTTGGATATTAACAATGGATGGAGTTACTCTTTTTCTTGTGTCTACATCATTTTGTATGTTTTCTTGTACTGTACCACTAAACAGAGCTCAAGATTAGATAAAATTGCTAATTAGGACAAGGCAAGTGACATTAACTGGAATTGAGTCAAACAGCCTTGCACAGTGGGCACTAGATAATCAAATCCATACTCAAAAAGGAGAGGAACAACATTGCTCATACCAGAGGAGGAGGTGCAAGAATTCATGATTGTTGGGCAAAGGGAGGGTGGACAGAGAGGACAGGGAAGAGACTGGAAAGCAATGCTAGCAATGCAAGCTCTGTGACTCCATTACCACAGAGCCCCAATGATTTTTCCTACTGTCAACAAAAAATATATGTGAGGTCAGTGAGGCAAGATAGACAGGAGAGTGTGGATGGACAATGCCATTTCAGAGGAGATTTCATTTTTTTCTTTCTACAGTGGTTCCCAATTAAGATTAAGAT